AGTGTTAGACCAGAGATCACATTAACATGTGTATCCCTGTATTAACAAACATGCCATATTGGCCCAGTTTATTTTTCTTATCATTGTTGTGAGGAGATGATAAATAGCATTTGTATTTTCTGTTGTACAGCTGATTTGCTGTTATGGAGTTCTTGTTATGGATAAAAAGTGTCTTTTTTGTTTCAAAATAGCTGATAACTATTCGCTGATTTTAGATGGCACTCGTCATCAGAAAGGTTGCCGACCCCTGTTATAGAGACTCCAACCAGTGGCACCACACACACACACACACACACACACACACACACACACACACAGAGAGAGAGACAGATACGCACCACTCTTCTGCTAGTTTAAATAAACAGAAAAGTGACCCTGAACAAGCTTCCTAAAAGAAAACTACAAATCGTACTGACAAAATTGAGCGCCAGCCATATCCCGTCTACAAAATTCTCAGTTTTCTGAATTTTGTGCTCAATTTTGGGAGCCATCTTAACATTGGACTCTATGGAAGAGTTGCATGGAGGAGGCTGTGCATTGGTGGCATTCATGAAAGAACCATAACATATACTACAATAATAATAACACTGGATGAAAGTGTGCAACGATGGCTACGTTTTGAGGGTAAAATAATGGCCGTAGCCCGAACACTCTGGACACAGCAGCAGTTTAAAGAGAAGATTTTAAGATAAATGTTTCCCCTGCTCCCACTCTAACAGTTGACCTGTCTCACTCTAACCTCCAACTTTCTGTCCCATACACACCCATTATAAACTCTGAAGCAGGTGGAAAAAAACCATGAAACTTACACTGGAACGGAAGAAAAAGTATAAAAGATATTAAAAAGAATAAAGTTAATTAGTTGAATGTCTTGGCTTCATTTTAAAGTTTGAATGGTGGCTCTAGGTCAACGTATGTGGAAGTAGTTAGAGTTGAAAGATGGGTAAGTTCAATGAGGATTTGAAGGGTCTCCCCAGTGAAATACTTTATAAATTTTTGTTGAATAAAGCTGAATAATTTAAAAAATATAAAAGTTAAAAATGAGTAAAAAAGGAGCAGTAATGTCCAAAAGAACAGGAATCTAACGGTGGTTGAATGGTTTTTCAGTGTTGAACGGTGTTGAAGGAGATAGACGACAAAAAACATACAAAATAGATAATAAAATATTATAATAGTAAAGATTTGAATAACAATACTGTGAATGCTGATAAGCATATACTGAAGCTTATCTGGCTTATCGTAGGAAAAATGAATTGAGACTGTGTCTTTATTAACATTATTACATGTACCAACCATTGTCAGCTTTGTTTTGAGAAGCTACTGTCCCAGTTTGTATGAAGTAAGTAATAATACATTTTATTTGAAAGCGCCTTTCAAAACACTCAAGGTCGCTGTACACTTAAAAGCAACATAAAAGCAAGAAGTTTACAGAATCATAAAAGCACAAGACATAAACAAATAAAATAGGAGAGTGGAAAGGTTATGTGGGATAAGCTATTTTGAACAAGTGGGTTTTGAGTTTGGACTTAAAGAGAGAGAAGGAAGAGATGTTTCTTAAATCAGGAGGTAGGGAATTCCAGAGTCGTGGAGCAGAGCAGCTGAAAGCCCGGCTCCCCATGGTTGCAAGACAGGGGAAAGGGACGGAGAGTGAAAGGGAAGAAGAAGATCTGAGACAACGAGATGGGGCGGTGATCTTAACCAGGTCAAAGAGATATGGAGGAGAGAGATGATGAATAGCCTTAAATGTGTACAAGAGTATTTTGAAATTGATGCGATATTTGACCGGGAGCCAATGAAGCTGCTGCAGACAGGACAGGAGTGATGTGGTGGGCAGAAGGGGTCCTGGTGATGATACGGGCAGCAGAGTTCTGGACGCGTTGGAGCTTGTGGGTGGATTTTTGAGTAAGACCAAAAAGAAGTGAATTACAATAATCAATCCGGGAAGTAACAAGGCTCTAGTAGTCCTGCAGCCATTGTGGCCTTCTGACACATCTAATACCACCCGTGTCCCCTGGTTTCTCTCAGCAGCTCCTCCTTCTGGCTTCATTGTATAAATTTACACGTTCAGTTTTTTCTACTTTCAATTACTTTAATTGCTTCTTTGAGAAGAATAAGGGCTGTTTATGGGGCAGTCAAATGATTGCCTTGTGTGACACCAAAGAAAGCGTAATGCCAATGAAATATTTAATAATCAGCTACCTGCAGTTATAACAGTACCCAAGTGTACTTTGCAAAATATGTTTGTTTGTTTTTATTCACACAGGCTTCCGTACCATATATGCAAAAAGTAAATTAGTAAAGGTAAGGAAGAATGTGATTTCTGAGGGTAATCACAAGATTTAGCTCTAGGATTATCTATAATCTCTGACCTTCAGTTTTCTAGCCACTTCCACATGGTTGTCATAGACGAGGACATCGGCAATGAGGTTCTCCCTCTCCTTGGAGAAGGACAACTGTCCCTCTGTGACATGTGGCTCAACAACTACCTTCAGCAGAGTGTGAGGACACCTGGTCCCATCCCACACCTGGGAAAATAAAAAAACATGATATAGGTAATGAGCACAACACACATTTTTGACCTGATAAAAGCACAGAAACGTGCAGGTGATGCTCATCTAGTCATCTGTCACTCTAATTTTGCAGCAGTTTGCAGCCCGTACAGTCACAAAAAGCTCTATGCCTGAATACAAACATGGTGCCTAAAAAGCAGAAGCAATGTCACGCTGTATTGGAATAGAATCATGAAAGAATCACAAAGCCCGAAAAGCTATTTGAAAACAGACATTACTAAATGGACCAGAGAAAGATTATGCATGGTGAGTTGTCACTGGCCTCTTACAACATTAAGGTTCTGGATTTGAAGGTTCTGGTCAGGTGGCACCAACACATGATCCCAAGACTACAAGGATGCAAGTATTCTTCCACCAATTGTCACTTTTGGTGTCTGAGTGAATCACCACTTTCCACTGACAGTTTTGATCTTCTTTTTGATGAGGTTTTCTTTTCTTTATCAAATAGCCTGCTATAATTTGAAAAACATATTTTCCTGATTGTATGTGTTGTTGCATAACAACAGACTCTAGAAGTGGGTGAGAGCTGACTGGCAAGAGCCTGGCGTTTACTGCCAAATCCTATTCAAATTTATCTCCCCCATCACTGGCAGGAAACCAGTCGCCACTTACAGCGTAGCTTCTGTTCTCAAACCTGAGGTGTAAAGTAAAACACATCAGTACCAAAACAAAACACATGAGATCTCTTCCCAGTTGAAGCCACAAGATTACGGATGTTAATCCACGTGGAAAACAAAGGTTAACAAATTCTTTCAAAAACATTCACATGGCATTGAAAAGTGCTTTTCTTCTTACCCTCAACAAGGTGCAGGTGGTATCAACAGGGGCCTTGGCCAGGAGCTGGCAGGTCAGGTCAAAGTAAGCTTTGGGCTGAACAGCAGACAGCGGGACTGTGCTGGTAACTGAGGCGAAGAGATCCTGAGTGGCAGCCCAGGATCGTAGCTCCTCCACCGTCCGCTGGTCGTCTTGGTCAAAGTGGAATGAACGGCTGGATGTTCGCGGTTCAACCGGTGCACCTTTCACCCCATCAAATGTCACCACAGAAAAACCAAAGGTGTTGACCAGCGTGATGGACTTGTTGAAAACTTGAGCCTGTGTAGACAGGTGTAGAATTAGTTATTACATTTCTCATGAATAAAGATTATTCATCAATACATTAATATTACTATTTATTAATAGAGGTGATTTTGCAATATTTAGTTCTCACCTGAAAATTTACAAATCAGTAGGGCAAATTATAGATACTAAACACACTAAAAGCACTCTGCAGTCTTGCACCTTAACTCTGTGCATGCGAACAATGTCTCCATTCTGAAAGATTTTGGGATGGTCCTCCATTTCTCACAGAAGATGGTGCAGCCAATCTTTTCATTAGAGTGGTCAGTAATCTTCAGGCTAGAGCAGAAATCTGTGAAAACAGAACTTTATGATATCAGAAAAAAGTGTCTAGTCTACCATAAAAACAATTCAACTGTTTCAGAGACTAGGACAGTAAGCACCAAAACACTTGTCTTCTTCACCTGTCCCTCCTGTACCTTCCTCCTCAGTGGGTCAAATGTTAAGCTATTCCTTGGGATTTTTTGGTAATGATACTTCTAATGCAACCTGGCTTTAGCTTTGAAGGCCAAGCTCAGTGAACTGAAGACACAGCTCGACACCTGTGAAAATCCTGTAGCTAGCCAGCAAGCAAAAGTAGTTTAGCTACTGTTACCTGTTCCCCAACAGATTGTCCCAAATAACTGGGAAATCAGACTGGCTGAATGACTGTGAGTAGGAAGGGAAACTATTAAACAGAAGCCCGAAAAGGTTGATTCTGTTCATCTGGACGTAGTGTTTTCAGTAGGAGAAACGTTTCGTCACTCATTCAAGTGACTTTTTCAGTGTCAGCTGACTGCAGGTTTCCCCAATCTTATAAACAGTACATTTTCACAATGACTGAAACCAGCCCACTGATGAACAATGGGCTGGGAGGTCAGTTCCCTGATCATTAATACGCAAATTCTAATGATCACTGATCAACAACCACTGATCAAACCCTATTGATCAATGGTCATGAGTACCATTCATAGAGGGTAAAGTACAGGGAAAGACCATCTCTGAATCGAGGAGGGGTCTAAGGGTACATTTTTTACCATCTTACAATGCTGTGATTGCAGCCATTCCCCAACTCTCTGTTGGAGAGGAGGCTTCAGCCCCTGCTTTCCATCCAATTGGTTAAAAATAAAATGTTTATTTCTCTAAACTTTTGTTGCACGTGAAAACCTTTATTGTCATTTTTAACTATATTCGATGGCCTCTTGGCTGTCTTTCAACAGTGTCAGCATGGGAATAATCACTGCCAAGAATAGCAATAAAAATAACTTAATTTGATTTTGTGTGCTTTATTCCTTCACTCAATCTTTTTGTGAATTCCTTTGTGCTTAAATCATGCCAATACTCAAACCACGAGTATTGATTTCACTCACCTGTAAATAAGCAAGCCTCTATACATGCTACATAAGAGACTTTCTTTAGAAATGGGAGTAATAAAGAACTATGAAAACACTTTAGTACACATAAAATTGTATTATTTGAAAATTTTGCATATAGTATCAAAAGTAAAAATAATTATTTTGCAGAAAAATGTCCTCCATCAGTGTTATATTTAGTCTATAACTGACTGCAAAAGTATAGTTTGGATATAATAAAGGCATGAATTTAAAAATTGAATTTAACATAGTTTGATCCATCTTAAAGTTACAGTGAATTAATAAAGAAAAACCATGACGCCAAAATTCTTTACCTGAAGTTTACAATGGGATGCCAGGGGCTCAAGATCTGAGGGGGTTCTTTTTTAATGTTTAAATAATTCTTTGAGAGAGACGCAAAAGTGGATGCTCAGAGGGCTTCATAGACAGGTTAGAGTGAATAAGTACATACAGGACAGCAAACCTGTTTCTGAGCTGCAGATCACATGGTTGGGGAGATGAAGAGCTTCTGTTTTTAATGCCAGACATTGCCACAAACATCGATAGAAGACAAATGCATTTTTTGACGAAGGCTACTAAGGAAACAAATAGCCTGCTGAGTGAAACTACTTAAGTAGCAACTAGCACAGCTTTATCCACCTTATCTTCTGGTTAAAAGTCCAACTAAACTCTGATATGGGTTCTTTACTGACCTGTACCACGGCTCTTAAAAGGCTGTTTGAAGAACACCACTACACCATACACATTGACAACAGATCCAGCTTTCAAGCTGTCCAGTTTGGCATATGTGTACTTTGGAGCCTTGGCTGAAGAAAGCTGAGGAGAAGCAAAACTGTGTTAAAACACCAATATGAGCATGTTAACATCATGTCAATTCTACACTGATCAATTCTGCAACTTAATACATGTCCTGTATTTGAGGTGTTAAATGCTACTACCTACAATTATACAAAAAAAAGTATCTGTTCATTTCTGACATCTTCCTTGTGCTCCTTTAATCTTTTGTATTATGACTGAAGACAACTGAGCAAGTCCCAGAAGCAGTCACTGTGAAGCAGTCCCTGTGAACAGCCATCGTTGAACAGAGGGGACGGCTTAAGACAGCGGTCCCCAACCTTTTTTGCGCCACGGACCGGTTTATGCCCGACAGTATTTTCACGGACCGGCCTTTAACGTGTTGCGGATAAATACAACAAAATAAAACTAAAAACTAAATAAACCAAATTTATTCATAACACACGTGAAAAGACCCAGGAAAACCGAGTTAACAATAAAAACGATAACAAAATAACGCTGAAAACCGATAAAAACCCTGAAAACCATACATTTCACACCTGAGCCTCAACTCTCGTGGCCCGGTACCAAACGACTCACGGACCGGTACCAGTCCGAGGCCCGGGGGTTGGGGACCGCTGGCCTAAGATGCCAAGAATCATCCGCCAAAAATCCAGAATTTCTGTATGAAATCAGCTTTAGATTTTAAGGCTTCTGAATATTGTCATTTAGACAATTAAACAATTAGACAATTAACCATGTAATTTGAGGGGTTTTTTTTAAGCATTTTGGCTTTAGCTAAAAATATACTTATTATTATCATCTGCTGATTTGTACATGTTTTAAGCCATTTGTGAAAACAGCAATAGCAAGCTTTAAGGATTGGAACTGACACAAGTTTAGCAATTTCAATTCCATTACAGATATCACTGATCGATTCCTTATTGATTCACTTATCAATTGTCATTGTGTTCTCATTAACTGACCAAGAATTTCAAGGAATTGGAATACTGAGAACCGGTGTTCTGCAAGACCCGGTTCACTTCCAATCCCTAGCAAGCAGTTATTCAAAGCTGGATTTTTAAAGGCTTAAAGAAGCTGTTAAACAATGACAAATAGGCAGACACAAAAGTCTGGTGACATCCCAATTCACGGAAGGTGACTTTAGGACAGCCCTTAAATGACATAAAGCATTCTGACAGCTACAAGACCTCCAAGACAAACTCCAGCAATCTCTATAACTAAACAGGATACTCATTCTGACCTCAGCAGAGACTGGGGATCTCCTTTTGTTGGCTGGTGGGGATCTGGGGTTAGAAAGCACTGGACGCAACACCTAAAAGGAGACAGGAGATAGAGGTGAGGTGCTTTAGTGTTTTTTTCCCCCCTACGTTATAAGGCATTTTGTCAATTTTTGACTAATAAATGTTTAAGATGATTTTGAAGACCTTGTTGGACGTCATCAAAATGGATTTTAATGAACTGTTAACATGACTTTATATGACCTCTATAAAGTTTCCTGTACATCTTCTTGGCAGACATAATGCAATGTGATTTGCAATGCAACAGCATTAAGATATACGGCAAATTTAGAGTCACCAGGTAACCTCACATGCATATCTTTGGACTGTAGGAGGACATGCAGAAAAGTAGTAGTCACATTAGTAAAGCATGTGTGATTAAATGTTACTTATTAATAACAGCAAATGTAATGTTTTAGTTCAGGGGTCGGCAACCCTAGGCACGCGTGCCACAGTTGGCACGTGAAGGCTTAACAAATTGCATGACCATAGCTGGACTGGCCATTGGGCATACTGGGCATTTGCTCGGTGGCCCAATGATTTTTTTTTTGTAACGGTATAAACAATAAAAGGTGTTGGATTGGCCAGATGGTGGCCGGTGTGTAAAAATAACTCAGTTGTTTGGTGGTGGCATCGCGGAGCTTCCACAGATTCAGTAAAATTAACAAGT